AATGGGTCAGAGAGATGTAATGTGAAAAGGACTCAGACTGCTGTTGCTGGTTTGGGCTAGATAAGGAGACACAAGCCAAGAGCTGCAGCAGTCTCTAGACACTGAGATCAGCCTTCCACTTACAGTCAGCAAGAAAATTGGGACCCCAACCCTACGACCACAAGAAAGTGAACTCGATCAGTAACCTGAGTGAGCAGGAATCGACTCTTTCCTAGAACCTCCACAAAGGACAGAGTCTGACACCTTTAATTTAGAACATTGACAACCCTACTGGATTTCTGATCTACACAACTATAACATCATAAATTTGCCTTAAGCCACTAACTATGTATGTGGTAATTTGTTATACAGCAATCAAAAATTAATATTTATTTCAGCGCCAGAAATGAGGTAGTGTTGTAACAAATAATTTTAAAATGTGGAATCAGTTTCAGTATCAGGCAGTGGGCACAGGCTGGAAGAATTCTGAGAAGCATGAAAGAAAAATCCTAGATTTCTTTGAATAGACTGTTAGCAGAAATATGGACATTAAAGATGGTCTGTGAGGCTCAGAAGGAAGCGAGAAACATTACAGAGAAATTCTCAAGTACCACAAAGAAAACACAATGATCACGAACAGACAATTAACAGAAATATGAACTTTTAGGATGCTGCTGCTGAGGGCTCAGAAGGAAATGAGAACACATTATTAGACACCAGAGGAAAAGGGATTTTGTTATACGGTAACAGAAATCTTAGCAGGATTTTGTCGTGCAGTTATGTAGAAAGCGGAGCTTGTAAGCAAGGACCTTGAATGTCCAGCTGAGATTTCCAAGCAGAGTGCTGAAGGGGCAGACATGGTTCTTTCTCCTTAGAGTGAAATTCAAGAGGAGACACAGTCATGGAGGAACTGCTAAACAGAAAGGAACCAGGACTTGATGATCTTGGAAATTCTCAGCATCCCCATATGGCAAAAAAAAAAAAAAAAGTTAAAATTAAGAGATTCATTTTAATTTAAAATTAACACATTTTCTGAGATTTTCCAGAAAGATCGAAATCAGAGTATTCAGTAACAAAAAAAAAAAAACTCCTTGAATAGATTTTAAGTGGGATCCCCTCAACCACCTCAACAGAAGCCAAAAAGAGAGAACAGGTTTCCTTGGGAAGATTTTTGCACAAGCCCCTTTTTCTTAATGGAGTGGATTCTGTGACATCCATAGAAGAGCCACAGGGTTCTTGAGAATTTTAAGTAAGCTGGGACACTGACAGCTTGGATTGAAAGGGTCAGAGAGATACCACAGGAGAAGAATCCAACCCGTTTGACATAAAATGGTCCTGTGTCAAGGTAAGCAGCAGCTTTCAGAAGTTAGGAGAAACCCTTAGCTCAGAGCCAGGAGTGCTCAGTCCTACAGCCACAGGAAGTGAATTCTGCCAACAGCGTAAATGAACAGGAAACTGATCTGATTCCCCGCAGAGCCCCCAGAATGAAATGCCTATACTCTGGTTTTAACCTGGTAATGCCTGAAGTGGACTTCTGACCTAAAGATCCATCAAACGACAAACCTGTGTTGTTTTATGACACTGAAATATGTAGAATTTGTTATGGAAGTTATAGAAAATTAATGCAACATTCAACATACTTATTTTTTTTCTGAATCTGATCATTCCAATATTGATCACTGTAAGACTATCATTCTTTTTTTCTTCCCTCCCTGCCCTCCATTCCAAGACTACCTTCTGTCACGGTTTTTTTTTTTCAGCCTCCTCCCAAGCTATTTCACTCTTCATGCTTTGTCACTGCTAAATTGTTAACTAACTTCCTTAGAAATTTATCATGGAAACACTGAATTGGGATTCATACTACAAATTATTTATTTTGCTTCACTGACTAAATCTGAATCACTCTAAGTTATCGGATGACGTTCACTGGATCGCACAGGTGAATTCTGCCAGCAAACCTCAGGGAAGGTTGCCTAATAGTTCTGAATTCTAGGGGCGAATCTGTGCCCTCGACTCCGTGGCAAAGTCTAGACAGGCATGTTCCTCTGATACACCTTCTCCATGTTGGTGCATTTATTTCCCTGGGTCCTTCCTCTTAGGTGCTGCCCTGAAGAATCCCAGCCCTCTGGGGGCCTCTCCCGTCCGACCCCCGAGCAGCCCTGCGATTCACCCCCTCAGCTTCCGCCCCGCTCACCTCTCCAGGCGATGCCTCCTTCGCTGTGTTCTCTCCTGGATCTTTACTTTCTGATCAACTCAGAAAAGCATTTAAAGAGAGGTGTTTTGTCGCCCTGATTTTAGATTTTTTTCTTTTAATTGCTGCCAGAAGTGGAACTCTCCATTTATTTTTTAAACCTTCTCAAATTTATTTAGAAAAACTGAAGTAATACATTTCATTGCCTGTATAAGGGTTTTATTACCTTAAGTAAACCAGTTACCGAAGTAATAACTTTTCCACTCAACTTCATAATGCGCTTTAACAAGTACTATTTCTGATGGTACCAGGAAAAATAAGCAGCAGGTCACAGGCAATGTGTTTCCCATTTTAAAGTCCTCCTTTCTAAAACATACTTACAGATCTATATGAAGACTGGTGTAGACACCAGACTCCAAATGCAGAAAAATATCATCGTCTTTGAGAAGCAAAGACTACTATTAGTCTTTGAAGTGCCTTATATTTTAAATAAATATTACTGAGCTCAAATCTAAATTTAGAGGATATATCTTCTTTTAGGTTTATAAACAAAAGATCCATACATCCCTGATGACATTTACAGGCAGTCTTGATTCACTCAATCAGAAATAATCCCATCCTCTGTGCGCCCACTGCATGGGATTGCACTATGCTGTAATAATTTGTTTACATATGCGATATTTTTTCTTTTTTTTTAGTAGACTGTGAGCATCTTGAAGAGAAAAACCATATTTACTAAAACTATTATAGTAGGCCCAGAACTTAGGTATAAATAAATACCTAAGTTGAATTTAACCTATGAGTGACAATGTTTAGTAAAATGTAAGAAGTTAATAATTCTACAGTACATATAATTTCAACCTTTTTTTGATAATATTAGGAAAAATGTATAATGTTACAAAAACATCGTAATATTGTAGACCAGCAGAAGTTAACAAAGTCACTGATACAGACCTTCCTTTCCTTCTTTCTGTTTGTTATCATAATGCACACATTTCATTGCAGAATGAATGAATGAATGAGTGTTTTGACTCTGAAACAAAAGTGATTTGAAATTGTCTTTTACTTGAAGCATCGTTAACAGGATAATAATGTCCAATGAGAGAAAAATGCTCAAATGCTTAAAAGAAGTAACACTGTCAGCATTTAAATGTTTTCCGGGTTGAATTTTAAGTAATTTGCATTTACTTACCTCAAAGAAAATAAATATTCTATTGCCAAACAAAGAAATAAGAAAACCCCAAACAAACAAAATCTCTGACGGCAAGACTACTATACAGGATGCATCTTCTCATGTGTTTTTCAAGCTCACACAGCTGTATCTTATTTTTTTTAATGTTCAACTGAGAAAGATGTTTAAGATGTCAGCTCCACATACTTCTATTTTATGCTAATCCTTCCAGAGCAATCACCACTCTAGAGTCTTTAATAAAACACTTAATGGAATGATTCTTGATTTAACTTCCTATGTCCTTTAAGATAGATGCACGTGGGTCCCCATCTATATTTCAAATGCAAAACAGAGAAACCAAACTCACGAAACAGTTTATATTCCCCTTTCTACCAGTTTTGAAAATGTTCCTTTTTGCTATAAGGAGTGAACTTTAAACCATTCTGTCCTTCCTTCTCCTTTATTCCTTTAGTCTGTTACAAAGAAGTGCTGTTTATGCTCTCCTGTCTCCTGGCAGCCTCTCTATTTCCGCTGCCTTTATCAAGATGAGGCCATCATTTCATGCCTTGATAAAAGGCATACCAGATAATTTTCAAAGATCCCTCCTACTTCTACTATTTTATTCTTAATTTTTTAACTGATTACCCTGACCGTATTGTGGATTCTTGTACTCAACTGCAACAGTAAAAATGCAACTTAATCACTTGCAGGTAGAGGAAACTGGAAATGAAACTGGATAGTTTAATATTACCCACAAAAATACATTTATAACCTCCTTTTGTTCTGCCATACAATTATTTATATTTTCCTCAAATGCTCTTCATTCCAACTCGTCACTGTAACACAGTATCTCTTTATATCACCTTTCATGCTTTTAATGGTCTTCAGACCACAAAAAATTGCCTTCTCATTTCCTCAATCCAAAATTCACAAAATGCTGCTTAACTTATCTTCTCTAGGTAGTTTACATAGTTGCAAGAAAACAAAACTTGGGCATTAGATAGACCTCAGCTCGTAACTATGCCACATACCAACCATATAATTTTAGGCAAGGCTCAGATTTTTCATTATAAAATGAGATTAAAAAGAAGAAGAAGATTTTTGTTTCATAAAACTATGATGATTGTATGACATAAAACATGTAACGTGTGTAAGTATGGCCTGGATTGTAACATCAAGTAAATAGTATTATTGCTGTTGGTATTATTATTATTATTATTATTAATTCCATGATTATGTCCCCATGACTCCAGCCCACATTTGAAAACTCTTCCAGACTCCATTAACTCAGCAACATTGAGCGCTACTCAGTGTTAACTGTTCTCTAGTTGCTTTGTGTATCTGCACAGTGACTTACTTGTATTGGTATTTTCAGAGAGTGCACTGAAAGGACATTTGATAAGTAGTCATCCAGCACTTTATCACATATTTTGATTATTTTTAAAAATTAAGAAATATTACAGAAAGATAAAATGGGACTAATTTCATAGAATGGTAACATCATAGAATGTTTGTCATGGGCCAGAAAATTGCTGGGTGCTGAGTACTCACAAATATATGTGAATATTCTGTTGCACACAGTTTTACCACATGATTTTATTCCTTAAAACTAAGACACACACACCACACACACATTTGCACACCAAGTAAATTGCTTACCTTAAGATTGTTCTGAATTCAGCTTCAAAAATGATCCAAAGTGGATACAAAAAAAAAAAAAATAAAAAAATAATAAAAAAAAAAAAAGAAAATATTAAAAAAAAAAAATATTTATAATATATAAAAAAAAAGTTGCATTTTAATATAATTTTTTACTTATTGCTTTAACCATTATAAAATGGCAAATAGTACTATATTAATAGTATTATATAAGTATATAAATACACATTATATAAATAGTAAAGTTTTGACATATTTGTAAAACACATTCATAAAATCAGTAAGCACTTTTAAGCTAAAGGGATTTGACCTGTTTATCATTTGCAAAGCCTATTGATGGTTTATATCCCAAATATAATCTTACTCAGCATTATTGAATTGCACTAAAAGTGAACATTTTGGATAAAACTATAATAATGGTGCTGCCCCATTTTATGATACTGAACACTAGACGGGAATTTATTTTAGAGAAGCATGTGTGCCCAGCATATGTCTGTGTGTGTATCCCATATGTGTGTATACATATTGATGGAAAGCATGGCGATACATACACGTACACACACACACACACACACACACACACACACACACACACACACACACAAATATAAAGAAAAAGAACAGGTAGACCTAAAACACTTGGTAGAAGAAACCAAGTTTTGGTGTACAAGTGAATGGATAAATTCAGCTCAAGTATTACCTTGATGATATTAGCAATAATACCAGCAACAAAAATGGTGTGTTTAGTTTAATAGTTTATAGAACACTTTTTCATATTCTTGTACAACTTCATGGTCTTCAGCAGCACTCATGGTCATAAACATACTCCCTCCCAACTACTACTAGGGTAAGCTTGCTCTGACTTGACCCAGAGGGGATACACAGAGAGCCTGCCCCGTCCAATGCACATCTGAGAATAGCCAACACATTTAAAATACAAATGCCACTTTCCCTCATAAACAAAATTCAGTTCAAAAAGCTGTTCATATAGTAAAAGCTCGTCCTTTGGATCTGTCTCGAACATCTCTCCCCACAGAATGATGGCAGAGATTAATCAAATAATGACTCAAACCAATATGTAACCATAAACCATAGGAAGAAGATCATGTACTTTAAGTGTGATGTGGATGCTGATTCAGTGTGGAAGGATCAGGGAGATTCCCAGGGGGGATAAATTTGAGCTGAGGGTTGTCAGGCAAAGAGAACAGGAGAGAGAGAGAGACTGCCCATTTTAAAAGGACTGGCAGGTGCAAAGAGCTGAGGCGTGAAGGAAAGTGGCATGGTGGAGGCGCAGGAAGAAGGCCATAAAGCCAAAACACAGAGATGGAGGTGAGGAGCGTGCAAAATGCTGGAGAGGTGAGGAAGGGCCGGCGGCAGGCCGTGAAGGGTTTTTTTATCTTGTACATTACAGGCGGTCATTGAAAGGATTTATGCAGAAGAGTGAGGTAATGATAGCTCCTTGAAGACAAGAGGTAGAGAGAGTGGAGTAAGACTGACTGCAGGAAGCAGGTGAGGGGTTACTGGCTCTAGTTCCGGAAAGAGAGGTAGTGGCTTGCCTACAATATTTGCATGAGGTTGAGAAAATGGGTTTGGTTTAACAAGTTTTGGGTACAGTGTATGTGACAGAGTACAATCTGTCTCCCTCACCTGATTGTAAGCTCCATGAGCAGAGACTGTATCCGTTTTACTGACCATTACATCCTCTGCCACAATACTTTGCAATGTGTGCAGATACTCCAAAAACGTTTTTTTTTTAATGAATGAATGGTAGGAAAGGAAGAGGAAACTGGAAAGTGTAAGGAACTTCATGACTCGGTGCTATTTACTGTGACAAGAATCACCAGAAAGGATCAGGTCTGCAAGCGAAATCATGAGTTTAGATTTAGAAAAAATTGTACTTGAATTGCTTATTAGACATCCAAGAGATCTGAGTAGAAAACTTGAGATGTCTAAAGCTCAGAAAAGAGATCTTAACTGGACATATAAATTTGGAAGTTGTAAGAATATCAATGAAGCCATGGAGTGGATACAATATCTTTGCATTGAAGCCATGAGAAGGGAGGAAACATCTATGGCGAGACAACAGATGAATATATATTCACAGGCCAGGCACTTACTATGTGTCAGGCTCTGTTCTAAAGGTTTAACGTTTCAATCCAATTAATCCTCACAATAACCCCATAAAGAATATTCCCTTGATTATCCCACTTTGAGATGAGAAAACCATGGGTACAGAAAAATTATATAACTTGCCCAAATTCATACAGCCAGGCAGGCCTGGGCTGGGGTAGAATTCTAAGCTGGCCTCCAACATCCCCACCCATGATGTATATGCCTTATACAGTTTCCCTTCCTATATGCGGCAGAACCTGTCAATGTGACGGATAGAATTCCCATGATTCAGTTTTTAATCAGTTGACTCTGAGTTAATCAAAGCCTGAAAGGAGATCCTGTGGGCCTGGCCTAATCAGCTGATCTCTTTAAAGGTGTTTAGGCCCTGTCTGATGTTGGGGATTAGGCCCTATCTGATGTCAGAAATCGGAAGTGTGAGATGGCCTACATATAGGCCACCTGGTAGAGAAGTACAGTCAGCTTCTAAGAGAAGAGATAGCCCCTGGCCAACAGTCATTCAGGAAATGGAACTTCAGTCCTACAACCACAAGAAATTGAATTCTGATGATATCGGTGAGTTTGGAAGAGGACCTCAATCCCCAGACGGGCCCTGAGCCCTAGCTGACAGCTTGCGTTCAGCCTGTGGGGACCCTGAGCACAGTAGCCTGCTGGCCTCCACCCTAATTACTGGCCTGCAGAACTTAGGATGCTAAATAAGTGTTCTAAGCCACAGTTGGTGGTGAGTTTTTACAGAGCAATAGAAAACTAATGCACATGGCGAAACCTAGGTAGTCAGTTTACATGGATGATGCTGTTCAAGACTTAGTTATCCTGAATGAGGGAGAAGGATTGGGAAATCGAGAGGGTAAGGAGGGCGGAGAGAAGAAGAATGTTCACATTTCAAGAATGGACAGAGGAAAGCGAACAAGCAAAGGAGACTGAAGGGAGATGAAGAAACCAGTTAAATCCAAGGGAATGCGGCATCACGGAGGCCACGTGGAGCACCACAGCCAGAGACCAGGCGAGGACTGGAGCACGCTCCCTGGGTTCAGTAAGACCGAGGAGGATGACACTGGCTCTGCTCCGGCGAATTTAAAAAGTGGAGTTGGCATATTAGAATACCTCTTGCTTTCTACACAAGGGGTAAACCATGTGATAGCCCAGGGAGAAAAAAAAAATGTTTTCTAGAATATTTTTGTTATTTGATATTTTCATACAGGAAAAAATTACAGACCTCTTTCTCAAAAATTAGACTCATTTTTGTGATTATAGCCAACTTGAAAAGTAAATCAGTTGGAATGTTTTGTCACAAAACTGCATTTCAAGGTTTAACAATTTCCTATGTGATAAGGCAAAATTACATTCAAATAGTACTCTAAAGAATATTGAATCTCACAAGATAACTGATGGAAAGTAAAAGAAAGAGAAAAAAGGAGCATTTAATTACCAAGTTTCAGTTACTCTGACCTTTTACATTGCCACTCTAAGTTATTCTTCTCTCCTAAGGAAATAGGAAATCAGATGCAGAAACTAAAATATAAGGGGCATTAAATAAATCAATAAGGATCCATTTTGACTATAATAGAGTACAAATGAGAAGACAGGGTACACACAGACATAATTAAATTTATATAGAAGTGACTAGTGGTTAGCATGGCCGAGGGTGAAGGGGATAAAGGGGCACAAAAATTCCCCATCAGGATGTAAGTTGGTCTTGGGGACAGTAGTACAGCCCAGGGAATACAGTCAGTGATTCTGTAACATCTTTCTATATTGACAGACAGTAACTGCACTAGAGGGGGTGAGGATTTAATAATATGTGTAACTGTTGAACCACTGTGTTATATATTTAAAACCAAGGTAAGATGATATACCAATGATATGTCAGTAACAATTTTTTAAATTATATGCTGCTATATTACTATGCTGATGGACAGTGACTGTAATGGGGTATGTGGTGGGGACTTGATAATGGGGGGATTATAGTAACCACAATGTTGCTCATGTAATTGTATATTAATGATACCAAAATTTTTAAAAAGGATAAAACAATTATATGCTGCTATATTTACCTAATGATGTTGCTTTTGGGTTCTTTTATTCCAGTACTTCACTTTGATGGCTCATTTTAGGGCAAGTAGAAACAGTACTGACCAACCCTTCCTTTATTTAATATACGACAATAAAATAACAAAATTCAAACTACATGTAAGTTGTTCCTAATACATGGGGAAATACTTGTCCCTGATGGAATCCTTAGAAAAGAAAAGGATTACCCAGGGCTCTCTGACACCTACTCCATGTAGGACTGGGGTCATGTTCAATGGCCCAGCCTGAAGTAAGATTTGAATTTTCTACTTTGAATGATCAAGACAGATGCCAGATGGGACAGAGACCCACACGTGGGAGCTCAGTGTTGGTGTGCCTCCTGGTGCCTTCCATGAATCTCTCCATGCCTGACTTCATGCCTCCCTTTGTCTCGTCTGAGGCCTTCAGTCCCCATGTGGCTGTGGATTCACTGTTCCTAACACTTAAAAGATCTATGCAAAGATAGCTTAAGGGGCCAAATATAGTCACTGCTTAAATCCTAAGATTACCATTCCTTCTCCTGCTCACTTGCATTTCAAAGATCTTGCATTTGTTTCACATCTGATTTATGTTCATGGGTTCGGCTCCCATTCCAGCTGTTCATGGTGAGACAGCTCTTGCTCAGATGCTGCCTTACCAGTGGGCGTGTGGTTGCTTTCTAGTACAAGACAAAGCCTAACTCATTAATGAGTCAGACTGTCTTCACAGACAAAAGAGATGTCTGTCGCCCTTGCATAAAATTATTTTAAAAAGAGAAGCCTTATCTACCCTTTGGTGTGATCAGTCATTCCAGGAGACATATCCCATCTTCTTACCCAAAGAGCCCTGAACCTCTAATCAAAACAGGA